TTATACACAGAATATATATATATATATACATTGCCTCTAACTCTATTGATTCGTGCATATAACATACTTCTAACCAAATACCATATAATTTATTAAATGAAAGGTGTTAGTGTGTAATGAGTTCATTTAAGTTCATCAGGAATTAATCAAAGATTAAACAATTGCTAGGGTACACTGACTGGCGGCTGGTTTCAATATAGAACTTTGCACAGAAGTTCACTGACTAACTCACTGGAGAATACAGGTACATCCAGATGAAGAGCCCCAAACAAGACGAAGTGTGCATTTTACGTTCCACTGCTAATCAACATCCATTAAACTACTTCAATGTGTCTTATTTTTCCCTGGGACATGGCTGACTGGTTTCAACATAGAACTTTGCACAGATGTGCAGCGTTATATAGAGTTGCCACACACTCTCTATGTGATACACACAAAGAACGGTAACAAGAAGGAATGTGGCGGAGGGGGGAGAATAGTAACACATGGAAAAACAATAGGGTTTATTGAATATGGCAGTCACATCATCAATTCTCTCCAGCCTTCATTGATTCTTACCATCATTGCAAAGGACTCCGATCAGGCAGTCTACACCTACTTAAGTCGCTGACTTGAAACCAACTCTTGAAGACTCCATGGGCTGTTTTCACCTTTTGGTTTGACCATCACTGGTTCTTTTCCAACCTGATCGATCCTATGTCAGCTTACATTCCCCATCGAGGAAGACAATCGATGGCTAGTTATTTTTTTTCCTTCACGTTCCCCAGTGGAACATGGGGCTTCAAGCTAGTGTCTTGAAGTTTCTGTATCCTTGTTTACTTTACAGGATGGCGTTGCTGGCCTCATGCCCAACCTTTCCTGTTTACCAGCTTTATTTCTGGCTCAGCGAGGTAAAGGAGTGCGTCGGCCGGAGATCGATCCCCGTACCATGTGCATGGTCGGCTAGCGTCCTAACCGCTCTACCACCGATGGCTAGTTATGCGTAATACATATCGTCACTATGTCAGTTGATATGCCTTCACACCCTCGTCGACTGATTTCCCCTCCTTACCTAGCACTCGACGGATGTCTAACCAACTGAATATTACTCACCCTATTACGCCTATCACCTAACACGGGAGATAGAACGCATTGTCGATGCGTATGTCTGCCTCACAGATATAAATGAGGACGGAGTTGGTTGGTGCTGTTCACCAAAAACACGTTCTATAATCGATAGTCAGATGGATAACATGTCTACATTATAAATGACGTAAAATGGGAAATGTCAGATAAGCCTTTTATATCCATATTAAGAATTCATCAACGATTGACCTCTTAGGGTTGATGCAACTAACCTTTCAACAAGCTCTATCACTTTTTCCCTATCTTTAAGCTAAAAGTCGATGTAGTCCAGAGTCTTGTAGCATCACCTTACATTTGATAGAAGCAAATAGGATACACAATACACATGATAAGGTATTACCTATCTTATCCATCAATATCAGATGATATGAGATTTGACTGAGAAAGAATCAATCTCTAAAGTCTTCGACTTTTTGGTTTCATCCACCCATATAAGAAGGTGTACACTGACTGGTTGGAAGGCCTTGAGACTGCAGATGCGTTCACACTTTGGGATCTCCTCATTGCAGTCCTTTTGAATTCCATTTTTCCTCTCATTTTTGTCTACCTTTGTGTACTACACAGGGTGTGCTGTACTTCTGTGTAAAGTTCTAATTTGAAACTCAACCAATCAGGTAGTTCAAAGCCTTAGATTCTTATGACACAAAGAAGAATGATTTAACAGTTTAGAACTCTTCTCCGTGTCATATTCAAATCTCAAAGCAATGACTATGAATCTGATAAATCTTCTGCTTTCTTTTCCAGAAGGTTAAAACATCTCAGAATGGGCATAGCAAGAGAATTCAGAAGCGAAGAGAATAAACCAAATACTAGATTGCTGTGGAGTATTTGGTTTTATTCCCACCGAATCATTAACTCTTAGAAATCTTAGAACCCAGAAGAAGTGATGCTTCCACCCTCAATGGATTCTTTCAAAAAAAGGATTAGACAAGCACAGATAATTATTATAAAAGCATTAAGGCATGCTTGAAGTCTTCTATCCTCTGTAACGCTAGAAGATGGGAGTCTTGGTAACGGAATGTTTATTAGCAATTTGGTATCTGGTACTTCCACTCTTCCTTCATATTGTATATGTGCGATTCAAATTAACACACGATGACGTGGCTAATCGTGGCTTTCATTCTCAAGCGAGATAACTAGTAATACAGGCGAGTCTCAGTTAATACTTTTTAATATATTTGTGCGTTGAAGTTTTTGTAGCAATTTGGTTAAGTTTTGGGGGTGGAGTTGCTAGCACCACGCCCCAACCCTCCCTCTTTATCTGGGCTTGGGACCGGCTAGAAAACTAGCGAGCTAGTAATCTAGGCGAGGTAATTTGGAAACTACTCGAGTACTACGGCGTACCCCAAATATTCATCAACCTCATTCAACAACTGTACGACAACGGCACATGTCAAGTGATCCACAACGGAAAACTCAGCGAGGCGCTTGGAGTAAACACAGGAGTCAGACAAGGGTGCTTATTGTCACCAATGATATTCCTAATTGTGGTGGACTGGATTATGCGTCAGACAGTAGGAAACAAGGAGACAGGGATATCCTGGACCGACTGACGTGAAGAACCTAGAAGACCTGGACTTCGCGAGTGGATGATTTATGTTTGATGTCACACAAAATTAAAGACTTACAAACGAAAACCGACAAACTGGTCGAAGAAGCAGCAAAGACAGGACTCCAGGTGAACATAGACAAGACGGAGGTTATGAAAATAACCAACCAACAACAACAACAACAGCAGCAGCAACATCCAGCGCCAATCACCATCAACGGGAGGGATTTGAAAGAGGTTACTTCATTCACTTATCTAGGAAGCACTGTCTCAAATACAGGAGGAACGGACGAGGATGTCAAATCGAGAATCGGGAAGGCGAGAAACACATTCATCAACCTGAAACCAATCTGGAAATATTCGTCACTCAACTCAGCATCAACAACAAAATTCGGATTTTCAATACAAACACCGTCAAGTCAGTTCTTCTATACGGATCAGAAACTTGGTCAGTGTGTCACAAAGAATATTTCCAACAGCCTGTTGCAGACCTTTATCAACAACTGTCTTCGTTCTATACTCAAGATCAGATGGCTGGAAAGAACAAGAACTAACAAGAAACTATGGGAAGAAACGAAACAAGAACCAATCGCTCAACAAATATGCAGGAGAAAGTGGAGATGGATTGGACACTCGCTGAGGAGGCCGTTGGCTGACATCGCGCGTCAGGCCACTGCTCGAGTGGAACCCGAAAGGGAAGCGGCGAGTGGGACGTCCAAGGGTGACATGGAGGAGATCGTGTGAAGAGGAACTGAAACAGTATGGATTAACATGGATGCAAGTGAAAAGTACATCACAAGACAGAAGCAAGTGGAGGCGTGTAGTTGAAGCCCTATGTTCCACTAGGAACCCAAGGGAACAATAATAATAATAATATCAGTTAGTACTTTGATGAGATCGATGTTTGTATGTGTCGTACAACACCTGTGGATTTTAACCGGCAGTGTTATCTGATCAACCACTAACGAAGGCTATTCAGAGCCATTGCCACACTCCTCCCAATATAATCTTTTGACATTGACACTACAAGTGTAATTGTGTTACTCGGTGTTTCTGCTGAATAAATGAATTATTTCACGCTCCTACTCCTGTCTTCGGTATCCCACTCACAACCTATCGTCAAACATTTGTGTTCCCTTCATGTCTCCAATGTATCTTCACAACGCTGAACCATTTGCTTTCACTGACATCAAATCTATCTTCCTGCCATTTCATGTTTTTATGCCAATGGATGTCTCTTTACATACTACTACTGATAAATCCTGTCAGAAGCACACTCCACACTAAAATAATCTTTCTAGTTCTTCTGACATTATAGAACGTGAAGCATTTTGCTCACCGATTTATGCGACTGATTTATCAACCACGAGTTCCTGTTAGAACTCCGTTACTTAGGTGACAAGTCACACACTTAGTATGTGTGAGAGCTAGTAAAATATTATCCAGTCGTGAGACTCGAATCTGGGACCCATAAAGCTGGAAATCGAAAATAGTTAGGCTAATGAGCCACATTTTTAGACATTCAGACTCTTGTCAGAATCTGAGGTCGAGCCAAGGATACTTAGATCTTCAGTCTAACTTCTTTTTGCTAAACTATTCAGCCGTTTCCAGATGCTGAGGAAACCGTTGAATGACATCACGTTCTACACATATGCTCGAGTGGAACGCGAATAGGAAACCCCTAGTTGAACATCCTCGAGTGACGTCTGTCTCTTTTCAACGTAGAACTTTGAACTAATGTGCAGCAGTTCCAGTCGCCACACTCCCTCCATGTAGCAAACAAAGCAATAGAAGAAGGTATAAGAAATGCATAATAGAGACACTAGACAGGGATATGAGACAAAAGGAATAGTAATATCGAAGAACAATATAGTTTCATTGGGTATTATAAATCACAAGGAGTGGATGCATCTGCGTCAACCACTGAAAGCGATTTTGAGCCATATCACCGATTGTCTCCAGCCATTGGTTTGTACCGTCCAGAGGACCCCAACCAGTTAGGAAGTCTACACCTCTCTATGTGACTGGCTGGCTTAAACTAACTGTTGTGGATTTCATTGGCTGATGAAGTCATGTTGGTTTTGGTTTGACCACCACTAGCTCTTTTCCAGGCTGACGCTATATCAGCTAACATTGCCCGTCCAGCGTGGCGATGACGTGGAGGAGATTGAGTGAAGAGATGAGATGAGAGCTCATCGGCAATCGTAGCAAACGCCACACTCCGACTAAAGTCTCTGTATCTGAAGATCTATATGCATCGGTAATAAAGCCCATTAATATACAAAAAAACAAGCAATGCAGCAAAAAAGCAATCAATACTACTTACCTTATCTCCAGGTATATATACAGCAAAATTTGGTTGAATTGAACTACTCATAGAAAAATGTCGAATACCTTTGAGTGATAATTTTGTACACGGTTTTTCAGCTGAAAATAAGAGAAGAAATACATATATATCCAAACCTGTTAATTAGCCTAAAGGCCAATCAAATACGACGCAAATTTCCAGAAGATCCTGCTAAATTAGTGTTCAATCAATCTTCAATAACTTTATCTTCGACAGAGTCGATCAAGAGGTGACTTGGAAACTACTTCGCTACTACCAAGGGGTGTCGCCAACAATTATACACCTCATCCAACAGTTGTACGATAGTGCTGCATGCCGCAGAGAAAAAAACAGGCACAAAATGGACCCACAAAAAAATTGGAGGATCTGAACTTTGCCGATGATGATGTATGTCTGACTTCTCACAAACTGGAAGGTAGGCAAGTGAAAAGCAACAAGTCTGCAGAAGAAGCATCCAGAGAGGACAGGACTTCCTTCAGGTGAACATAGAGAAAACAGAAGTGATGAAGATTCCTAGCCAACAGCAACAGCAACAACAGACAACAAACAGAATAAGTGCGAGAAATCTGAAAGAAGCAACCTCCCGTAATACCTACCTAGGAAGCAGACGGAACTGATGAGGATATCAAAGTGAGGATCATCGGGAAAGCAAGGCAAGCTTTCATTTCTCTCAAGTCTGAGTAGAGATCAACAGCACTCAGCATGAGAAATAAGATCCGGATTTTCAACTCCAATGTGAAGTCAGTGCTACTATACAGATCAGAGACTTGACCGCGCTTCGAACAAAGTACAGACCTTCGTCAACAGCTGTTTTCGCTCAGTACTACTCAAAATCAGGTGTCCCGAAAAGGTCACGAACAGGGATCTCGGGAAGTGAACCAACCAGGAACCAATTGCGCAAGACATCTGCAGGAAGAAATGGAAGTGCAAACAAACTTCAATCTGTATATTTATCGCGTTCCTAGTAATTTATCTAGAGGAGCTCAACTACGTCTTCTGTCAGTAGCTGAAGCAGTGGCAATTAATACCAGAAGACCATCTCTTTGCATACAAAAGAAGCAAGTTCAACCTCTATGTTTACCTTGGCCTACAATAAAGCCAACAAATCCTCCATCAACACAATAAATTCCTTTCACAATTTTCTTATCTTTTCTTCTTCTTCTATTCCTGTGTTTCATTGACAATCGTTCATTTTCGACTTTTATGATTTCATGATCTTTCTTATGATTTTATTACCTTAGGTTTAAGTAGTGCTTTTCTAACTTGCTATCGAATTTACAAAATCCTGTTCATTCCACTTCATTATATTCATTATTATTATTTGACAATCATTCACCAATAGTGCATGTAATTTTACACCATATCATCGTAATTATTTGACAATCATTCTTACTGTTGTTATTTTCAACCTTGAACTTATGTCTAGACCACCCCATTCGTTGGTTTATTTTCATATTGTCTCACACACCCTGATTACACACACACTCCGAAACCTGTATTTTTCTGTTGACTATATTTATATATATACACACGCATCATTAAATTAAATTACTTCATCTCATTCTATCTCATGTTCTCATTGACCATGCATATTAAAAAACTATCTGACTATTGTTCCATCCCATCTTACTTATACTTGTTCCACAATACACTTTCTGATATGATTCTAATTTGCCTTTACTGGCTGGCTGGCTATTGTATGCTTAAATTAATTAATGGATTTATAATTGTAGAGCCTGAAGAAGGAAGAATTTATTGAAAGCGACAGTTGTTCGCTTTAAATATTTTGTTCTGTATACATTCTGTCAACTGAAATCTAAGTATTCTACTTATTATATCTAGGTCTAATGGGATTGAGTCATTTTATTATCTCAGTCATTTTTACACTTTTCATGTGATGAATACACAGCTACCTTGCTTCTCATTGAATTACACAAAGAAGCAGCCGCTATGATTGCTAATCTACGACACACAAACATAATACCAGCATGATGTATGTTGGTGTATCACTGACATTTATACGAATGAATGCATTGGCTTAAAACTGCTTGGTGCACTGACTAATTTTGATAACAGGAAAACAAGATAAATTAGTCTTAGACAGGATAGGAAATGAGTATCTATAAATATCACTGTAAGTGATTACTCTAGTAAATAATTGCTCTTAAACGTGCATACTACTAACGAGTAGTTGGAAATCACTCGCGTCAAAAAACAGTGCATTGCCAGACAAATTAACCTTATGTACAACCAGAATTCGGATGACTTGAACTGAGTCTGACCACGTTAATTCCTCATGAAATTGGCTCTCAAACTAGAGATTCGATTATCTACGTGACAGTACTGGTTAGCATACGTGGTTTATAACTTAGGTTTGAATATTTGTATGCTTAAACAATGCTGAGTTGTCTTAATCTCCTTGGCTTTTTTATGAAACGTTGTTTCGCATCTTGAAAGGTTTTTTAAATGAGGCTACATCAATAGATATACGGTAGTCGATTCAAACCTGTTGAGAAGAAGATCTACATGAACATGTAATGAATAACCAATCCATTAGAACAAGAGATATAAGCGAACAATATTATTGTTTTCAATTAGATCTTCTTCAGGCTTTACTCTAATTTACATAGATTTATATAGAACAATTTTAACCAATGACGGTGATTTTGTTGGTCAAGTAATAATAATAATAATAATGATAATACTGTGGTAAATGTTTTGAACGTAGTGAATAACGACGATTATAATGACAACAAAATATTGATAATAAGGTTTATGCAGGTGGCGATAAGAATAACAAAGGTAGTAATATGTGTATATGTAGACAATTCAGTAAATAAATAATCAGGTCAAATTTTAAGTTACGTAATACTAAAGGTATGTGAAGTAGACAGATAATCAGAGTTTGACTATATATCATAAAAGTAAGAAGGAGATGGAAAATAAGAAGGAGTGGGAGGGTTTTGATTAGAAATTACCTAGGTAAGGAAGGGAGAAACAAAGGTAGAACAAAATTCTTTTGTTGTATACAAAGACTAGGATTGTTCTCTCGAATTAATTCCCATAGCTTCGGTTATATGTAAAAGACAGGTTCAAATTCCGCTTGAAAGGCTTGATGGAATGCGATAGATAATCACTGAACGCGCTTCATCTGTCTATATCAAATGAGCCAAAATAGAACTTCGTATGGATTTTATTTGACCTTTTCCAAACCATGAAGGAAGATGCTCATTAGTGCGTTTGTTGAGCTGTCAAGTTGTTCGCCCTATATAGCTAGCTTTCTCCAAAAGAGCAACTAAATTTATAGATACACATAGAAGTGGCACAGTTAGGTAGCTTGTCTTTCGCTCGAGCAATCATAATTGGTCGGCAGTTGGGAAATGACAAACAAAAGTGTGGTGGCAGTATAAGTCCGTTTTATCGCTCTCGATAATCTCAGATGTAAGACTTCGCTAGCCACATTCCCATTAAATTGCAATTTTATGAATAGTTGTTTCTTTTTAACTGTCATTTACTGAATTGTCTACATGTACACATATATACATACACTACCTTTGCTATTCTTATCGCCATCTGCATAAACCTTATTATCAATATTTTGTTATCATTATAATCATCGTTATTAACTACGTTCAAAACATTTACCACATTATTATCATTATTATTATTTGACCAACAAAATTACCGTCATTGGTTAAAATTATTCTATATAAATCTTAGTAAATTAGAGTAAAGCCTGAAGAAGATCTAATTGAAAACAACAATATTGTTCGCTTATATCTCTTGTTCTAATATTAAAAATGGGAATATTTAAAGATTTGAAACCAATCCATTCTCACCATTTTTATGACACCTTATTATTATGGCTTTTATTATTATTATTATTATGGCACCTTATTACCCAACTGACCAATTACTATGATTGATGATTATTAAATATTTATTTATAAAGTTATGTGTATACCAGAATATACTCTGAGGAGGTCTAATTAAAAACAATACTGTCCGCATACATATATTGTTCTAAATTATCATTATGTAACTGTATTTATCCCCTGAACTCACACATAAGGTTCACAAGTGGAACCTGAGTGGGAGGCCACGAGATGAGCGTCTGAGGACCAAGTATAAGATCATGGGCAGTTGTTGAGTCGGTTGAGAGTAATATTATGTAACATAGTTCAACAGATGTGTTCTACCAAAGCCCCATGCTTCACTCAGAACGTTAGGGATAAACAATACTAATAAAAAATAACTTGAAATTGCTGTTTACTCTTTAAAATTTTAGTTCTCATTGTTATTATTATTTCCTTTAGTTCCTAGAGGAACATAGGGCTTCAGCCATGCGTCTCCATTGCGTTCGGTTCTCTGCTAGACTCTTCATCTGGCTCCAAGTTTGCCCACATGCTTTCACCTCCTCTTCACATGATCTCCTCCAGGTCACCCTTGGACGACCAACTCGTCGCTTCCCTTTCGGGTTCCACTTGAGCAATGGCTTGTCTAGTGATGTCACTTGCTGGTTTCCTCAGAGTGTGGCCAATCCATCTCCATTTCTTCCTGCCTATTTGTTTCACAATCGGTTCCTGCTGAGTTGGTTCGCTCCCAGAGATCTTTGTTGCTGATCCTTTCCGGCCACCTGATCTTGAGTATTGAGCGAAGACATCTGTTAATGAAGGTCTGTAGCTTGTTTGAGGTGCTCTTTGTGACACGCCAAGTCTCTGATCCGTACAGTAGTACTGACTTCACATTGGAGTTGAAAATCCCGATCTTATTTTTGACGCTGAATGTTGTTGACCTCCACCTCATTGTTATTAACGTAACCGAATTCTGTTACTGACAGGATATTGACTTTTTAGAATTATTTTATCCCATGGCGTTTCTAGTGGAATATAAGGCTTCAAGCGTCAGCTTCAGTGAGTTTCATTAGCAGCGATGTTTTGTACGGCAGGAGGTTGCTAGGTATCATGTCCAACCTTCCCTCTTTACTGGGCTTACTACTTGTTTACTGAGGTTTAGGAATGAGTCGGTTCGCACCCAAAACTATTTGAGGCGTGATAGGCGAGTGTCCTCCTACTGATCAACTGTCCAATACTGCAACACTGAGAATACTTGGGAAGCTACAGCATTAAAATTCTTTGTAATCGAATTGTCATAGTAGTTGGCATTATCAATTTTATCGCTTAATTCTAAACATTTGCATACCTATACTACTTATAAGTAGCAAGAATAATACTACTAAATTAAGAAGGCATTTAAAGCATCAAATTTTAGCTCAGATGAAAATAAAGATTGGTGGATAAATGAAAGGTTCTTTTCAGTACTAAGAGTGTTACTAAGAAGACGATTTCATCATATAACGCAGGATTGAACAGCAGGATAAATGTACTAGCGCAGGATCAATCGATTATCAGTATATTTACTTCTCTTACAGAAAGACAACCATATTAATAAAATATCACACTTGAAATTGCATTATACTGCAAAGTGTTCTCATAATTGATTAGAAAAATAAAACTAGAGTGGTTCAAAAGAAGGCTCAAATGCTGTAGAGTCATCTAAAAGCAACGCTAAACAAAATGGATACCAATAGAAAATGGTCTGAGCTATGGTTGCAAAGCAGCAACGGATCCTAGGTTCGAACCCCAGTCCCACATTTACTTTAGCCTAAACAACAACGTGCCATTAAATTTTACGTAATATGTGCGCCTCATAGGCTGGTCAACATCAAAACTTTATCTCAAATGTCTGTGTTCAAACACAACACTATTATTATTATTGATCCTATGGATTCCGAGTAGAACTTAGAACTTCAGCAGTACATCCCCAATTTACTCTGTTCTATTCTACCTTTATTCGAACTGGCTCCACATTAGGTTGTAAGGTTTCGTTCGCTCTTCACATAATTGCCTCCATATAACCCTCTGATCAAATCATCACAAACAGTGAAGAATGCATCTGCGCCAGCCATTACTGAGAACGAGGATTTTAAGCCAGACATATCACCAACTGTCTCCAGTCATTGGTTCTTATCATCCCGATGACCCCAACCACCCAGACTGGTAGTCTATACCTCTCTACGTGGCTGCCTGGTTTAAACTAACTGTTATGGATTTCATTGACTGATGAAGTCATGTTCGTTTTGGTTTGACCACCACTAGTTATTTCGCAACCTGGTCAATCCTATGTCAGTTAACACTGCCCATCGAGGAAGGCGATGGCTAGACATGCATGCGTAACACATATCTTAACCATCTCAATCGGTGTGACTTTACAACCTCGTCGATTGATTTTTCCTCGTTACCCAGCACTCAACCGAACCCCCTCCACCTCAATATTACTCACCCTGTCACATTACACCTACCACCTAACACGGGAGATAGAACGTAGACACCTATGATCAAAGACAACTAGCCAGAGAGGCTTTTTATGTCTTCCACACTGTCAGTGACCTTGTTTCACGGAGCGAAGTGCTGAGGAGCACACACGTCCTTTGGTTGACAGCCAGTCGGATATCACGTCTACTAATTCAGAGATGGAGTAAGTTGGCAAGTGTGAAACGAACCTTTGAATCATCCCTGCTATGAATTCGTCAGCCATCAATCCGCTGGACCTGGCTGATCCAACTTCCCAAAACTCATTGAGTACAAATTGCCCAAGTAAAGAAAAGCATCAACATAAAACAGTATCTTTGAAAAGAAAACAAAAACAACTTACAAAATTGATTATTTGCATAGATATGAATTTCACCATTGACAAATATCGAACATAAAGATGAATTTGAATTCCACTGTGGTTGCCTAAGACACGACACAATGAAAAGAAACAACAAACAAACAAAATCAATAGTGGATAAAGTTCGAATTTATGAGTTAGCCGAGTGGCTTAATGGTCTACCAGCTTACTAGCCTTGTAACCGGTAAGTCCTTGATTCGAACCATGGTGGTGGTAGATAAGTACTACTGAAGAGTCCCAAGCACTAGGACGAAACAGTTGTCCAGCATCCCCAGGTTTTTCAGTGGTTTCCTAATCGATGTCAGCTCATATGATGACATTCTGTAACCAATCGATCAAATCCCTACAAACCAACGCTTCAATAATTTAATTGAACTTTAGATTTTTCCATCGATTGATTGGACCGAAGTGATCGGTCTCAGGTTGACATGTCGGCTTCTTGAGCAGATGCTTCGACGATATCTGGGCATGTAATTGGAATTTTAATTGGTAGATGGTGACTAGCAGTGGAATCCAGGCAGGATGCGCATTTCGTTCTATTTGGAACTCGTCATCTGGATAACGATTTGGCGTTTGAAACTATGGGCACTGGGCTCGAGCCTCGCTGGGAACATCATCACTCACTGGGGAATGCAGGTACATCTAGTTGTCTGACGAGTGCCAAATAGGATGAAATGCGAATCCTGGCTGGATTCCACTGATAGTCACCATCCATCAATTGAATTCCAACAATTCAATACTTTGTATTTGCTTTCAACTCATCATATAACTTGGAACTAATCTGCTGCGTATTATTATTATTTTCTTTCATTCCTAGAGGAACATAGGGCTTCAGCAGCACGTCTCCATTGCGTTCGGTTCTCTGCTAGAGTTTTCACCTGGTTCCAAGTCTGCCCACGTGCTTTCATCTCCTCTTCACATGACCTCCTCCAAGTCACCCTTGCACTGACGACCAACTCGCCGCTTCCCTTTCGGGTTCCACTCGAGCAATGGCTTGTCTAGTGATGTCACTTGATGGCTTCCTCAGAGTATGGCCGATCCACCTCGATTTCTCCCCGCTTATTTGTTTCACAATCGGTTCCTGGTTGGTTCGCTCCCAGTAAAAACGTGAAGGGAATTTATTGAAAAGAGTACTCTTCCTTCTCTAGGCCAAAATTTTAATCGATGCAACTCTTATTTGATAGACAGGTTGGTAGTCTGATTACACCACTATGGGAGAACACTAACATCATTACCATGCAACGCCTAGAAAATGGTAGTCTCTAGAGGTCAATTTACCGAAAGCCGACATGGAATGGACAATACCTGCATTTCAATAGTTTTTGTCCAAATAGCTATAAAAGAGCACTACACAAGACTCTGTACTATAGAGTGAGGAGGAGAATATGCTCTGCAGAGAAATTAGAGGAAGAATTTACGATTCCCGAAAGGAATGTTGAAAAACAACGTTATCCTTAAAGATTCATTAACAAATATGGAAGATGTGAAGGCTGGAACATGAAACAAATCACAGTGAGGAAAAACAGCCTGTCTTCATTCAACTAGATTTTAAAGGTGAAAATATTGCAGCAATAGCCAGTCAACAGAAGATTGAGGACGTCACTAGCCAGAGCTTATCCTGCAGGTAAGTTGGTGTTCCCGTTTATGCTCTTTGGTACAGTCAAATGTCGACAGATACAAATTTACGTGTATCTACGGAAGCAGTGAAATTGGGAGACCAGAAAGAAGAACACATCCCTGATTTTCTGAACATGTACCGGAAAGCCTACGTCTTAAGGGAATAAACGCTTATAATAATGCTATTACCAAGCATCTCCTTGATACAGGTCATAAGATGGAGATCGCGAAATTTTTTAAAATTATCAATAGACATAAAAGCTCATTTCTCCGTAAGTTTGCCGAAGCAATTTCTATCAAACGCTTGAAACCCTATTTATGTGTTCAGAAAGAAGCAGTTATCAGTCTTTCCTTGCCCCCCTGGTAACTGAATGTCTTTATTCTCTTTTTCATTTGATTGAGTAATATTCGGCTTTAACTTCACCCCATTTGGCATAGTGTAATTTTGCTTGTTTCTTGTTTCTAAGATTTCAGTTGAACTCGGTAACTTGTTACGCATTGTATGCATGCAATTACGTTGTTTAAACTTGAACCGCATGTGTAAGAACTATATATGTGTAATTTTCAACCGGCTAGAAAACAGTGTGAGATATGGAAATAGCTAGTATGACATTGTCACCACATGTTCATCGAAGCGAAGTTGGGTGTTCAAAGATGACATCATCAGTTGGAAGACCACCTCTGACCTACTCAAGCACTTGCTTTCAGTCAGAATTACTCACACCACAACGTCACTGGATACAAGCAGTTCTACAGAGGCAGTAATGATAGAGCACATAAAGTCTCCATATATATCTCCTAGCTCGAATACACCAAGTTTTGAAAGCATTCAGAAGAGATGCACGTATCAAAAAGTTGACTCGGCGGTGCACACACCTAAACAGACACAAAGGCATTTAAAATACTATTAATACTCCACCCGTAAGATTGCCTGTGAGCACAGGTATCTGTTAATTTTATAACAGTATTGCCCGATTATCCAAACAGAAGTGGGTGGAGTAGGGGGTTCGAACTTTCGACCCTGTCTTACTTTACTTTTTACTTTACTGCGGCTATCTCCTACGGGAGGATGAGCCGGCTTCATGAACATGAGTTCATGAAGTTTCATGGGAATTTGGTACGAGTGATGTCCCCAGAATCGCTCGGCCTTTGTTTGAGAGTGCAGCTCTAGCCTTTACACAACCAAGTGTGACCTACAAGGCAGTAGGAGTGGAGTAGGGAGTGCACTATCCATTGGCAGCCGGTGACCGGAGTTCGGTTCATACGCCTTTTTGAATGGGGCCAGACATCCAGGACATCCAACAAGCCCTTTGTCCATACGTCTGCCGGTGAGCTCCAGTGAGATTCATAGGCCAGTCGTTGGAGGTTTGGAGTCAGGGTTTAGCCATCTCCCCTAGACTGTCATCCAATGGACAGTCAACCCGGTGAAGAGCGCCGGGCATCCACTTTCGCCCTCTCACTTTGGTAAAAAAGCACCTCCGCCACGTGAAGGCAGTGAGTAGGACTTCCTCAGGAGAGGCTATGTAAGACACCCAGTCATATGGGAGCATTTCAAGAGGTGTGCGAAGGGGTGGCCAACCCGCAGCGCAAGGCACCCACCCCCGACCCTGTCACTGAAAGCTAAGTGCTGAAGTCACATTTTGTCCCTTTTATAAAAGAAATTCTAATATACATTCAAAACAATAAACAATTCATGTGCATTTGTAAATGATAAATTAGTTTAACTTACCAACCATCACCTTTTTTATATATATACTCTTTAAGCTTTATCCCTTTGATAAAATCATAAACGAAGAGATTTGGTAAACCATTCGGGTTTTCATTATCAACTATAATTATAAATGAGTTAAAAAAGCAACAACAACAACTTGTCTTACCTCGAAATGATTTATAAATAAAACCAAATTTTCCACATGGTGAAATAAGAAAACGTGCAGCTGATTCAATTGGAATAGTAGAATATACAGATTGGCTATCAGCATTAATCAAGGTCACTCTGTTAATAATAATAAAAATCGATAAAATGAGGCATAAACTTACTTTGTTTCATCCAGATAACCAAGACATTGACTTGATTTTGCTATAGATAAACACTTGATAGAATTAGACGGTTGACTAAAATGTAGAAAATCAAAAGAGATAGCAACATACTGTTCAAGTTGTTTAATCTTTTTACTCTCATCTAATTCATACATCCTTAGTCCATCACTTGACCAACCTTTGAAAGAAGGAGATTATGTTTTCCTCTTTAGTGCATGTAACTTACTAACAAATACCATGACTGTCAAGATGTTGATATAATACTACAATACGTCCGTTAGTTAACGCACCAACCGTTTTCTAAAAGCAGCAGAAAAAAACAAAACAAAATCTTACGTTAAATAACATTAAAAACCAAAAGCGCTTTAAATATGAGAATTGTGAATGTACATAGGAATAAAAAAACAAGGTATGGGTTCCGGGTGAGGTACAGAGTTTCAAAGGCATATCTCCATCCTATTAGGTTCTCAACTATCACTTATAGATGACTCAAAAACTGTCAACAAGCTTTTAATGCATGGCCACATGATTTGTTCAATGCCATCGTCGGATCCAAGCCGAATTCATTGCTTCTCATTCTCATGTTTGACTGATGTGTGATGTAGTCCGCTCCGTCCTCCTTTATGACTGTGGGACCTCGCCATTGAGGGTGAAAGACATGAAAAGCCTAGCCGGTTAGCTGTCTTTGATCATAGGTGTCTGCGTTCTATCTCCCGTGTGAAATGGTATAATAGGGTGAGCAATATTGAGGTTAGGCATAGGTCGACTGCTAGGTAAGGAGGGGAAGTCAATAGATGAGGCTGTGAAGCTACATCAACTGAGATGGTTAGGACATGTGTTACACATGCATGCCTAGCCATCACCTTCCTTGACCGACGGGAATTGTTATCTGACATAGGGTCACGTTGAAAAAGAGCCAGCGGTGGTCAAACCGAAACCAACATGGCTTCATCAGTCAATGAAATCCACAACAGTTAGTTTAAGCTAGCCACATGGGAAGGTGTAGACTGGCTTCCTGGTTGGGGTCCTCGGGACGGTAAACACCACTGGCTGGAGACAATCGGTGATATGGCTCAAAATCCTCGTTCTCAATGGCTGGCGCAGATGCATCCACTCCTTGTGACTTATAATTTCCAATGAAACTGTTTTGTTCTTCGTTATTACTATTCGTTTTGTCTTATATCCCTGTCTACTTTCTCTATTATGCATTTCTTCTACGTTCTTCTCTTGCTTTGTGTGCTACATAGAGGGAGTGTGGCGACTTCAACTGCTGGACATCGGTGCAAGGTTCTATGTTGAAAAAAGACAGACAGACAGATGTGTGATGTCATTTAAATGTCATTTCAGAGTACTTCCAATCCAAATTCTATTCCCTACCACATATTAGTCGGGTAATGGACGTGGTGGTCGGGCTTGAACACCGCAAATGACCCAACAAGCTATACTGGCTGGAACTTATGTTCCTGCAGGTCCTACCATGCCAGAAAGGTTGTTTGGATAGCGGTTAGACTAAAAGCAGTTACCCAATTCCAATCCTATGACTTCAAATAAATCACAAAATATCATGCCGGATCGGTCGGGGCCCGGATTAACAACGACCGCGCTTTCTGCTGCCGTGTCACAGGGCAGAAGTGATAAATACGCTACTGAGACACACCAAATGAAAAACAACAAACAAAAGCAGGCCGTGTGTGACCGGCCTTAAGCAGTTGTCCCCTGGGCTCTGCAGTCACGCAACCAAATTCCACGGTGTGGGCAGCCGGGAAGTAACAATCGCCCTCACAATCCGAAGCAGCAGCAGGGTAATGGACTATTGACAGGTCCGCTACCAGAGTTCCTTGTTGTTTGATCTTCAAAGATAATGGGCCTTGAGCTTGAATTGTACCCATTCCACCTAATTCAAAACCATTAGCCCTCACACAATAAGTATGACATACATCCTGGTACATAAAACGATTCCCGATGAGTTTTAATAACAAAAAGGTCAAATGACTTATTCCACCGAATATAAAAGCGAACAGAGAAAACTGGTACGCACTACACACGTTCTTCGGTTGCTAACCGGATATCATGCTTACTCCAGAGGTGACATAAGTTAGCAAATGCCACATGAGCCTATTGTATCCGTGCTGAGATCTCGTCAATAATTCAGTCCAAGAAAATTAAAGTTGACATTTCAACTAATCGAGTTGGCTTCAGTTTATCACACTATCCAACAATGAGCTGGCTGATTCAACCTATAAACTTATAGTTAGGCACTCAAGGCTATAACCATCAATTTTGAGGTGTCGGTAAGGAAAAAGTAGCAGTTAAAGATTTTTACAGACACAAATCCCGCTAGCCAATGGAGATCAGTCGTATATGTCAAAGGCATCTTTTAAAAAATGATTAATTCAAAATATTTGTTTCACAACATGAAAATGATCCCGAATCATCGCTGGTAAAGATGCTTGGCATTCTGAGGCCTGAAATAAGCATGCAGAGGTCTATGGATAAGTCGGGGATTGCGACCTATAGTTTTAAAAAATAATTCAATATGAAATTTACTGATCAGATGGTTTTTATAGTGGGGTTTTCAAATTTACAACTTTCAACTAGGGAAGTAGGAGACAAAATGCATGCCACGAGAAAATCTTGCTTCTTCAGTCTTTAAGATCGCGTTCAACAGAGTCAAGTCAGTGAATATTACATAACATATTAACTTCAATTTCACAAGTTATACACATGAATTCTCTCTATTTCCTTAACACTTCATTCTAACAATTCCCAATCTCAGGCAGGTATGTCATACGTGTGGCTAGAGACTTAAGGTTAACTGCATAATTGTAGGTGAGTAGTGGAATCTTAGGGTCCGTCGTAGATACTTTGGGACAGACTGAAGATAACTGTCCCACTTTCTGCAATGTTCCCGAAGTTTTTTGCCCCGAAATTTCTGCAATGCTCCCTAACAAAATGCAAGCTGGGTAGCGCAAGGGTGCGACAGTGTGTAAAATGTTGAATGGCCTACTATTTTAGTGGTATCTCCACAAAAACACAACACAGTAAGTTGTGTATAAATGAAACAATATTTTCTAATTCCTAAGCGCTTAATTAAGATTTATTGATTAAGGACAGAAGGCTTGGAGCCTATGTTAATCCTTTTCTAGTAAATTTCTGTGGTTGTCCAAACCCTTCTTGAATGAATCAGTTGAGGTCGCAGTTGCCACTTTTTCTGGGAGTCGGTTCCAAGAGATCATGACTCGGTGTCAGAACCAGTACTATTTTTACATCATTGTAAGCTTGGCTTTCTACAAAAAATGCATTTTCACTTAAGTGTCTGTGTGTTGGTGGCACAGCTGTAGAATACTCGCCAACTACACCTCACATGGTTCGGGGTTCGATCCCCAGCCGCCAACGCACTCATTTACCCCGCTAAGCTAGCAATGAGACTGGTAAATATGGAAGGTTGTGCATAAGGCTAGCAACTCCATTCCGTAAAAACAAATACCACTGCTACCGGAACTTCAAGTCTCTAGCTTGAAGCCCCCACGTTTCACTGGGAACCTAATGTAATAAAATGATAATAAACAAGTGTCTACAGTAATAGTACACGAATGATTAAAGTACATATACGCTTTTTTATATTGTGCAACTCCATTTAATTTAGGCAGTAACAAGTTTCTGAAATTGTAATTCCTCAAAATAGTGTTGCGTCTGCAACATACCTCACGTAACGCAAGCTCTGAATTCCTGCTCTTTCCCGACCTCAGTTTTCCGTCAAATTCAATTTCCTATGGTACAGTCGCTGTGATTAAAACCTTATTTTCACTCTATATTTTCGAAGACATAAGGATACTGATTGAGAAAATAAGGCAGTATTTTCATCCCTGATGATACCACAGAGAAATGGAGACGTTAAATCCAGCAGCATGCACAGTATATCCAGAATTGCAAAGATGGACTAGAAAGCTATAACTGACAAAATAGTCACCTTCTGAATGATTATTATTTAAGCAGACTCATTGTAGTGCAATGTGGAGGATTATACGCGTCACATTATACCTTTGGCTTTGCGTGCATTGGTCATTTGATGGATGTAAAAACTACCGATATGTTCTGGTTAGATATACTTTTTAAAATATCACTATGTGCGTATGTATCGCTAGCAATTTGTTCATAGTAAAAAACAATAAGATGAAAAAGGTGCTTACGTAAAGGAAAATTGATACTTCTAGAATTAAAATATTAAATAAGTGATGAACTTATCATCATCGTTTACATGCGAACAGTTAAAGATATGTATTTAAAAGTAATAATAACTTGTTAATAGTTTAACCGATGTTTTGACTGATAGGAACAAAGATGGGACAGTTAAGGTGAATGCGTGGATAAGCGACATCAACTGGCCAGCATGCTCATATTCTGAAGTAAAACACAATCGGGCAAAGTATTTCGAAGACAGTAGAGCAGTCTTCTGAAGCTATTACTTCAATGGGTAACTAAAGTTGTCTTTGAATTAAAACTGAAAGTATATGGCTTGTTGATGGGCTAAGTGATTATTATTATTATTCAAATGCATTAGAATATCTGTATCCTAATACTACTTCACTCACTTTTCTGTCTTTTGAATAACTTAGCAACATGGAGTTTACTTTTAGTTTTGCATTACTGAGTGAAGATGGACACTCCTAGAAGTTTTTGGTAGAAAGATTAAGTTGCCGCCAAAGTAAACACATATGTTCACATCTAGAAAATACTTAGACTTGAAGTTGTTTTTTCTACTAAATTACGTGCATTTCGTAATAACAGGCAAACTAGAAAACGCACAAAGTCTTTATATATACGAACAGTGACTGAGTGTACAATGGAGGGTCGATTGAAAGAAATGCCTTCTCGATATTGTTTGAAATTCATGTAAAGTAACATATACCTACATCCTTGCATGTGCATCCACGTAAGGCATCGGATTTAGCTAGCGTCTCGTCTATATGTCTAAGTGGGACAATTTCATATTTCACGAATGCTCAGTCCATGAATTCTGCTTGTACCTGCAGAAATTTTACAACACAAAGCACACCCTGCCGGGATGTGCTGCTGTGTTGCACTAGAATTCCTCAGTTTACAGTTAGATCACTTTTTAATAATATTAATATTACCGCTTGTAGTTGAAAAGGTAATTCGATTGTGTTGCTGGTGATTTTGGCGGGATCCGTCAACACCAAGTGTTGTGTCTTTTGTAAGTTCAGTGAAGAGACCTTGT